AAAAAAAAATCAAAAACACTACCAAGACCCAATCACTCCAAAGGACTTTCTCAGTCCTAAAGAGCTTTCCTAGCATGAGCTGTCACAGGGAACAATTCCACACAGCACAGGCACTGGCTTCCTGCCATTGTGGTGGGAACCCAGATTCATGGAGCTAAGCCCCCTACCATGTGGGCAGCAGGGTGACACCTGACATGGCACTGAGCCCACCCTCCCATCCAGCCACTGCCCCACACCACCTCACTGCTCCTGCCCTGCCTACGGGGCAGGCAGCAGCAAGAATGAATGCTCACTGGTGACATACTCTTAACACGAGGTCCAAGAGGGTCAGAGGGGACAACAGTACACAGAGGCATGACACTTTTAACAGGGCATTGTAGGCAACTGCAGTTTCTCTCCCAGAATTTTTTCTCAAGTGGGATACAGACAACATTAACTGGGAATTTTGCTTTGTCTGCCACGAGTAAGGGTTGCTGAGACCACTAGAAGAAGGCAGAAGACAAGTATTTTAACCTTGTGCTTTGTCTGGGTGTCTTTTTTTCGAGCTCAGCAGAAACAGAAGCTTTTGATGTTGCAATGTTTACTGCCCCAAAAATGAGGAAGGTAAAGGAATGAGGTCAGCTCAGTACTTGAGAGAATTTAACCAATTAGCAACTGAATATCCCTTACAAGGAACATGCTTGCAAAGGGGCCGCTCTGGATCATTTAGCTCTGGGCGCTCCATCTGTGGCTGCTGGACTTGAGCACCAGTTCAGCTTGAAATCCTAAAATATTGCCAATTCCACCATCATTCCCAAAAATCTGAATCTTAAAAGATATTTTCAAAAGTCTGCTCCTAGCAAGTTGCAAAAGAAAATGCAATTAAAGGAACTGTCCAGAGGCCTGATGGACCTACAGTACTATTTCAATTTTTTTTTGTTCTGTTAACTTATCTTCTCTAAGTTAATTCCTTTTATAAACAACACAAAATGAAAGTCAGCAGGGAAAGAAGATATTAGACTAGAGAATTCAAAATATTTTATTTCAATTCTGGCTGTACTAAAGACAAAGAAAGCAACAAGAAGAATTCATGCTGAGACATTTAAGAACAACAACTTACTAAAAATACTGCAATAAGTAAATCCAGAGACTGGTCAGACAGCACATAAGCTAAGTATTATTAACGATGCTATATTTAAGTACCAAATATGCATGAGTTTTAATCAAAGATAGTCCATCTGATCAGCTGTTGCAAGGTAAAAGGCACTAACTCACAAAATGCATCTGTTTTTTAAAAAGCAGCATGAGGCACAGAGACCACCAGGCAGACCTTTGCCAGCTTGCAAGACAAAGCCACATTGCATATTCATTTCACTACTGCTCTCCCTGGCTGTATTTAAATGCTAAAATACAGAAGACTTAAGACAGAACACATGACAAATTCATGTAGCCACTTATGAATAAAAAACACAAAGAAAAGCTTCTAGCTGAATTTCTGCACAAAGTTCAGTAAAGTAAAGCAAAATTCTGGCATCTCTTTTAGTCCTCTTGACCAGTATCAGCTGGCAACAGCATCCCTGAGGGCAAATACACGCTTAACTTCAGCAAACTCAGCACAGTGGTCCTTTTCATTTGCTCATAAGTTCACATAAAGCTGGGAAGGGATCTCCACCCAGCTGACCAGAGCTATCTCCAGGTACCACAAGTTTCAGGTAAAATCTTCCCTCTGTGGTGTGCAAGAACAGCTACCTGCAGCAAGAGTACATGTGTTGGCTACTTGCTGCTCTGAAAGCAGACTATGTTTAGTGCACCACAAATACATGAATACTTATATTTAAAACTCCAGCTTTTATTGCTAAACAGCATCAGACGATAACATGTGCCACAGGTTGACTCTCCCCGACACAGCTTCAGCTGCTGTTGGCAGCAGTGAGCCTGCACCAGGACTTATCTCTAGCTACGGAGTATTTTAACAGCAGAGGAAAATCTCCGGCTGTGACTGCACTAAAGGAGCGACAAGATCTTAAGAGTGAAATACATCGCAAAATTCCTCAGCGTTATTCACAAGCTCTTATTTAAACCAAACAAATCCCCTCCCTCTATGCTAGCACCCTAATACTGATGCAGCACACCATTAGCCCGCATCTACAAAAACTTCACAGCCGCAAACCCTCCACCCAGCCGGGGCCACCGGCGATAATTTCAGCCGGCGGTTTACGGCAGGCCCGCGGCTGCCAGGTCCTGGCAGAGAGCTGCTCTGGCAGAGATAACCTCACCCTGGCCCAAAACTCCGGCGAAAGGCTGTGCCGCCACGGGAGACGCCTGCATGCTCATCCTCCTCTAGTTTCAGCTGCAGGGCGTGTTTCCATTTGCACAGAGCGGTTTTAGAGACTTCCTGATAGGAAGCATCCCAACTGCAGCCGGGCCCCTGCCTTGTTTTCCCTCGCCATCGCTAGGAGCCGGCTGAGCTCTTTGCTGGAGTTTTCTCTCACAGCCACGAGAACTCGGCCATGGCACTGAATCCCACAGCACCAGAGAACACCCGAAGCACTGAGAATACAAATGAGCCGTACGGGGCACTGCCGTTCAGCGGAGCGGGCAGTGCACCCAGCCGCCGGAGGGAGAAACGCCTCTTGTCGTCTGCCAGGAGCCCTCCCTGCCAGCAGGCCAAGGTGCTACTGCTGCTGCCCGGGTCTGCAAAACTGACCTTTCGTCTGCAGACTCACAGCACAGATCGATACCGGAAAGCTCTCTGGAGTGGGATCCTCAGATGTTGCATCCCTGGGAATCAGGGAAAAGGAATGAGGGCAGAAAAGCAACAAACGCAGGCAGAGAAGGAGAAAAGACACTGCCCAAGACAATACCTCACACAACCCCAGGCACTGCTTCTATTGCTGTTGGGGCCCGAGGACTTCCAGGAGATGAACAGATAAAAGCAAAGTCGTAAAGTTTTTAAGAAAGTCCCTGCACAGGCATCTGACACACTGACACATTTCTGTCGTCTGCCCTTCCTTTTCCACTCATTTCCTAAGGCACTTGCTCTTTTAACACCTAGGTTTAAAACGAGCGGGCCTCTTTCAGAGGCGCTGCACATCTCCAGGGCGCTGGTTTAACGCGGCGTCTGCCCTGTCCCACACACAGACCGCGAACTACCGTGCCAGCAGCTCCAGCTCTAAAGCAGTACGGCGGTCAGGGGCGCTGGGCAGGAGCTCAGGGAAGGAGGAGAAGTAGCAGCCTTCCCTTCCGAGGCAGACGAGCCCTTCCGCCGACACCGTGCCCCTCCGCCGGGCTGCTCCCCCGGCCGGCAGCCGCCGCCTCCGCGGGGCTGGCGGGATGCACACCCCACACACCCGCCGCGGCGGAAAAACACGGATCAGGGCTTTTGTCTGGAGCCGCGGCAGCGCTCAGCTCTCCGCGAGCTCCCGGGAAGGCAGCTACGGCCGAGGACGGGGCTGAGGTGCGGGCTCTCCTCCCTTCCTGCCCCTGTTATTTCAGCCCACCCCGTGCCCCGCACGGCGGAAAGCGCTGCCGCCGCCGCCCGGGATGCAGTATCCATGGCAATGCGGGATTGCATCATGCTCTTGACTAAACTGCACCGGGGAAAAGACGCTCCCGGCGAGAGCCCCGTCCCTTCCGCCGCCCCGTCCCCTCCCTTCCCCGCCGGCCTGCCCGCCGCTGCCGGCCCCGTCCCCGGCCGCAACCCCGCCGAGCACCAAGCCCTCCGCTCCGCTGCGCGCATGGCCGGCGCTGCCGCCGCACTTGTTGCGCGCCCCGCGGAGCGGCGACCCCCGCCCGCCGTGGCCCCCGCCCCCCCATCCCACTTCGGGCCCGGGCGGCCGCGCCGCATCCTGTCTCCGGGCGGGGAGCCCCGGCGCTGCGCTCCCTCCCGGCCGGGGACGCGGCTCTACCTGGCGGCGGCGGCGGCGCTGGGGGCGGCGGGCGGCACCGGCCGGTCTGTCCCGCTGCGAGCCGCGGGGGCGGGGCCGGGGGCGGGCGCGGGGCGGCGGGCCCCGCCCCCCCGCCGGCCGTGGGCTGACGGTGACGTCAGAGTGGTGCGGGGGGCTCACGGGCGGCGGCGGAGGGGCGCTGTGACGTCACGGCGGCAGAGAGCCAATGGGGCGGCGGGGGCGGCCTGGGAGCGGCTCGAGCCGCGCGGCGCTCGCGTGCAGCAGGTCCCGGGCGGGAAGGGAGCGCGAGCGCTGCCCGGCCCTGAGGGCTCGCAGCGGGCCTTGGCTGCGGGGGCCTCTGAAAAACAATATGGGACCGTGTAATTAAAGACACCCATAATGAGGTGAGCCGCGAGCCTACATTAAAGGTCGCGGGCAGATGTAGTTGATGTTTCCTGTGTTTTGAAGTAACGGGCTTTGCAGCCTGACAGCATTTTTGAATGTAATCGCTGGCTGCAATTAAGTAGATAGTATTTTTAACTCAGTCATGTAATAAAACCTCTGGTTTTGTTGTGTAATTTACATGCGTATGCTGAGCTGGTCCTCACAGTGTCAGATGTCTGAGGAAGGAATCTCAAAGCACCTTCTTTGGCTCCTTTCCAATGGCAGGGATGCTCAACAGAGGAAGAAAAGTTCTGTTCCTGCTCTCCAGACACCTCATTACCTCCCCGAAGTCCTAACGGGGCAATAGTGAAGGTGCCTTGATGTTCGTATGGCCAACAGGAAGAAACCAGGTTGTTTCTTTCCCTCTCTTATGTGTTCCCTTGTGATGGAAGATGACCTTTTAATGTTTTCCCCCTCTGTAAGAGTTTGTTCCGTCTCTTTGTTAATTAAATGAAAATGCTACATAAATAAAGAGCAGCTTTGCAAAGGAGAGGAGTCAAGCAGCAATTTGCATGGGATTTATTCACTATCAAACATCTCCATTCTATGGGAAGCAGCAATTACTACATTTGGTCACCACAATATACAAAGGACATTAAGCTATTTGAGAGTATGAAAAGGAGGATGTGAAGGGCCTTGAGGGGAAGCCATATGAGGAGTGGCTGAGGTCACTTGGTCTGTTCAACCTGGAGGAGACTGAGGGGAGACCTCACTGTGCTTTTCAACATTGTCATGAGGGATAGTGGAGGAGCAGGCGCTGGCCTCTTCGTTCTTGTGACCAGAGGCAGGACTTGAGGAAGTCATGGAGCTGAGTCAGGGGACGTTTAGGTTGGATATCAGAAAAAGGATCTTCATCCAGAGGGCAGTCGTGCACTGGAACAGCTCCCCAGGGCAGTGGTCACAGCACCAAACCTGACAGTTCAAGAAGCATTTGGACAGTGTTCTCAGGCACATGGTGTGGCTCTTGGGGTCTCGTATGCAGGGTCAGGAGTCAGACTCAGTGATCCTGGGGAGGCCCTCTGACCCAGGATATACTATGATTCTATGATTCTATGAGTACAATAATGCAGAGTTTTTCCCAGTGGGATGAGAAATTATGTTCCTTAAACTCTTTCTGGGATAAGACAAAATCTCTCACTAAAGTAAGCATTGAGACTATGCCAAAGAGGGTGTCTTGAGATTCCTTCCACTTATTTCTTTTATTAGAGTAAGATGTTAGGAATGCTATTTGGTTGCTGTTGAAGGGTTTTTTCCTCTTTTTCTGTTTTAAAGCTCAAATCTTTATTTTCCTGAAGGACCAAACTCTTGCCTATGTGTTTTAACACTTTGGAAAAAAACCCCAAACCCTACAAAAAACAGCACAATTGTCAGGTGAGTGTGCCTTTCTGAAGACCCTTGGGCCAAGTTTGTGTTTTGGATGTTTCTGAGGCATCCCTTCCTATTTGTGAGAAGTCAAGCTGTCTTAATTGTATAAAGCACAAGTCCCATTTTTTTCTCAGCGGAGCCAAAATGTGCTGAGCTCACTGAAACATGACCAGCATTAGGTCTTTTCACATCTTCCACGCTTTATTTAAAGCACTATTCAGTGTGCTTTAAATAAAATTCCTTCCCAAGAGGCATACACATTTGTTTTCATGGTTTATTGATGAGAGATGATTGCACCAAGTGTTAACTTTCACAGCCAAAACAGCTTTCTAAATCTGGAAGGTGCTTAAATAATTAAGACTCAATCTGGCTGTTTAAAAATAAAAAATAAGAACTTGAGATGCAGAAAGGGATGGAGTGGGGCATAGAGAGTGTAACTGGGCATTGAGCAGCACCCTGTGCAGGAAAGGGATGTGCTGCTTCCTGGTCCCCACACTGCATCCCACAGGCAGGGGAGTGTGCCCCAGACCCACCAGAGGCTGGCATGTACCTGCTGTGCCTCCCTTCACTGTGGAGCTTGCCTTTCTTGTTTGGTGGTGGGGTTTCAATGGGACTGTGTATGCCCAGGATGCCAAGTAAGTGGCACTGGAGAGGGATGAGACAACAGCTGATAGAGGAAACAATGAGACTGAGGGGCGAGATTTTGGTTTTGCCAGCCCAGCTCTAGTGCAAGACTCCTAGATTGCCAGCTGGTCTGCTGGTTCATCCCTCTCCAAGTCTCTCCAAAGTGCCCATGCTGTTACCAGTCAGAGAACAAGAGCAGTGTTCCAGCGTGGGAAATGTCATTTCAGAATTACCCATTTGGGAAAACTAAGCAAACAATGCCAAATGTTTTGGCACTAATGTTTAGCATTTAATAGAGGTGAGAGCTGGCCAGTGTCATTCTGAGCTGCAGGGGTGTTGAGTCCCAGCATCAACCTCATCTTCTTGGAGCATCTGCAGGTTTGTCAGAAGTGAGGACATTACCGTTGATCTCTCCACTGAGCACTGATGAAATTCCTGCTGGTATGTTTGCTCAGGAAGGGCTTCTGGGTTTAAAGAAGGGCAAATTAAACACTATTCAGGATTTAGACAGAAGGATTGCTAGGGCTTATGTAAAATAAGCTCTATTATACCTTGCATGTAATTTTAACCTGTATCTCATTGTATTGTACTCCTGCCTTTTGAGAGAGAAGAGGCAGAATCTGAGCACTGTGGAAAGCCAAGTCCTAGGTGACCCAGCCTAGGCAGCAGCAGCAGAGGTGACAAAGAGGCCTCAGCAGATAGAGCTATCCTCAATCAATGGTACACAAAGGGAAGATGTTAAATAGATCCTAGTGTTTGAGAGTATGGGTAGGAAGAGAACAGCTGGAACATTGGAAAGTAGAGCAAAAAGTCAGTGAGAGCTGCAGCGCTGAGAGGACAAAAGAGCTTGAAATGGAAGGCCCACCAGCATGGTATTTGAAATTAGACTGGAAAAAGAGCTAGAAGTGTGTCTTCCAGGGAAACAAACCCAAATGGTCTTCTTTTTTAAAAAAAAGAATGTTAGAAATCTTAGCTATGCCTATGTAGTAGTGATTAATCATCTACACTGTAATGAATAGGTCCTTGTTTTGATTAGAAACAAATTAATCCAGATTTTCCAAAAGTAAATTAACAAATTGATTAGAATAAATAGCCATCATCTGCCACTCAGTCATTTTAATGGGATTTTTCAGTTCTGCCTGAGTTTGCCTTGGCATCCATCCAAACTGATTGTGGCAGCTCCACGTTCTTTATCAGCACAGTAAATGGGATGTGATTACTGTTCCTAGATCAAACACTGGACTAAAGGACCAAGCTTGAAACTGCAACATCTATTTCTTCTGAATATGGTGTTTTCTTCTGTTGTGCAGATGACAAATGCCTCATGCTGTGTATACAGCTTTGTCTAACTTTTAAGTACTTGGCTGTTGTAGAAAAAGCTTCCAAGCAAGTCTTTCTTCACAATTTTGTGTTTTCAGGACTCATAAGCAAGTGACTGGACGAAGCTGCTGTTTTGAGATTCCAACACAGAACTGTTGTTAACACGTTCACTTTCTGTTCTGAGGCATGATCACGTTACCAACTGGTCTTAGCTTTTGAGAGTGCTTTTTGCAAAATTCTTACAGGCTCGAGTAGATAAAAATTCTTAGCCCTGTGTTTATAATCCATTTTCATGTATTTTACATTAACAGTATTTACTATTCTGCATTTCCTCTTCCTCTTATGTCTCCCTGCAGCATGTGGTAGTGTAGGCAAATAATTGAATAAGATTGAAGACCTACACCAGCTCACCAAACTTTTGGTGTATTTTAAGAGCCAGATTTACCCCAAATAGTATCCCACAAGACCAAAATATTTTATTTCTTGTCAAATAAGTCAAATAATTAGGGAATTTTCTCTGCCACTGGTATTAGTATGTTCTTCTTTCTTACCGTGCTGCTCATAATTTCAGAGAGAAAACGTGATTAAAGTCCACCTTTGTCAATGCTGCTAAAGCTTTATTTGCCTTGAGTTCAGAGAATAATGAGTCCCAAGAATCTTGCCACTATATAACAGCTAGTTTGCTCCTATGGTACTGCTGGGGCTGCTAATAGGAGACAGAGAAAGAATAACAAGGTGTTTCTAATGATCAAGTAGCTTCAAAACGGGCGCAAAGAAAGTGGTCACTTAACCCTGAGTTGCGTAGTGATTCGCTCAGTTAACACGTGTGGCTAGTGCCGTCTGTCTGCCTCCTCTTTCACAGTGTCTGCAGGAGAAGTGGAAATCTGTGCCGGCTTGTTTATAACCCTGTACTCAGACCACACCTCTCTCTGGGGCAGACCCAGGCTCTGGCAGGGTATGACCCACCTTAGCCCACCCCGGGGTTTGCTGGTGACTGCAGTGTGCCGGGGAGGGGGCAGCATGGAGAGTCACCGTGGTGTGCCTCTGTCCCACTGCTCTGCTCCAACCCCAGAGAGCCCTGTGAGCCTGGCCCTGCTCTCTACTTCCCTGCCTTCTTTTGGGTATTCCCCTCAAAATTTGGGAACATCTACAGTGAAGAGTAGAAGCTCTTCAAGGGGAAAATATATTTTCACTTCATATAGCAAGCAGCTTCTGTTGGAGGAGAGTGATTTTATATGGGCTAAGGCTAATCAGAATAGGGTGAACAAAATATAAACTGCATTATCTTGCATTAGTAACTGGATGCCTTCCTCCTTGCCTGTTTCTGTTATGGTGTGTTTTTGTTGACTTGCTGTATGGATTATAGCATCTAATCCTTCAAACAATGTGTGGTTTTCCAAAAAATCATAAATCCATCATAGTCCATTGCAGCCTGCCAGCAATTTCCTTGTTAATCTCAGAACTAGTGGGACTGGGATTTGGACCTCTCCTGTCATATTACTCAATATAAGGGAGCTGGTGAGAGTGCAACACTGTATTTCCATGGAGTATTAGGTGCTCTGATTTAGAGAACCAGTTAAGGGCAACATTTGCAATCCCTCTTCGTGTGCCGTGCTGCCTATCCCTTTCTGTTTAATCACAGCCAGTGTAAACTGAGAAAAAACACTGTCTTACTTCTTAGAGCAAACAGTGATTCATGTTTTTTAAAAAGAGATGAGGGAAAGTATTTTTGTAAATGCTCTTGTTTGTCTGAAAACATGTGATGAATCTGAATGGTTGCCATTCTGTGTTGGAATTTTTAAAATATTAAATCTATTCAAACTGCTTTGTAGGTGGACCTCATGGTGCCAACTCCTTATAGTCAGGACAGTTATTCAGTCATCACTGTCATTATGTTTTTGAAGAGAATGTTTCCCTACAGAGCACTCTGATCCTGATATAAGTCCTATCCTCATTCAGCTTTATGTGTGCATAGAAAATCTATTGTGCATTTTGAGAAAACCATTATACCTGGATATTTGTCCTGAGTTAAAACTATTGTATACTATTTCAATACTCTGTTTTATTGGAGTATCACTATCTGTGCAGGCCAGCCTGCAGCCTGCCTTCCTGGCTGCAGGACACTAAAGCCTCAGTACACAACTCGGAG